GCATGGTGCACGAATTCTGGCGCGAACTTTATGTTTCTACTGCTGCATGACGCCGCAGCAAAGGGTTCGGCTCCTTAGTGGGTCCCCCCAGGCGCTCTATGTGAACTCCAGAAAATAATAAAGGGAATTATTAAGTGCATGACGTGGAAGTAAATGATCAGGACTTGCATTTTTAGGCTCAGATACGGAATTCCAATGAGTATTTGAGTCGAAGACAACCAGTTAAAGTGGAGTAAGCACGTATGCCCATTCTACGAGCAATTAGTACTACAAGTAGTATAATTGCTATATAAAAAACGTTGCACCGTCCTCCCGACATAGACACATATACATGCATGTAGAAGTAAGCTTTTTGTGCAACGTACGTCTGATTAAATAATGAGCTGATTGGTACTGGAAACTCGTGTGAATAACAATGTTCAGTCAGAAACACGCTGAACGGTTTCGGTCAGTGTCGCATGAGTTGCAACATCGTGTGCTCATGAATGCGGTCCCTGGCTTGAACTCTACCTCCTCAGGCAAGATTGCATGGCACTTCATTTACTGCAATGAAGTTGGAGGCGCAATCCCTGGGACAGTAGGCATGTTAGCATAAGCTTTCGGAGTCACACAGGAACTCCTCACCGGAGACTATGTAAGTACTACAAAAACAACAAGCGCTCGCATACGGCTTCTCCGGCTCTATGAGTCACTGTGCCTATCCCACACCAGACAACTGAACGGCCTGGACGGTGGTCTAATGCTGGCCGTGAGGGAGAGAGCGAGGTCGATGGCTAAGGGTATTTTCCTCACTATAAACAATCTGACGCGCTTAAAGCTATCACGGTGTGCAAAAACCGTGGCATGGAAGGTTGCCAACTGATGGGATAACTCGCAACGCGCAGTCAGTCCAGTGTGTTTTGTGTTGTGTGGAGTGGCTGGCACTCTGCGAGTCAGGCTGTAATGACTCTTTCCTAATTTGGCCTTTATGACATTTCCTTGTAAGTGGGATCCTAGCCAGGTGTGGCGGCAC